GGGGGAGGGGCATCGTTGCTGGGCTAGGGGCTGGCGGTGAGGGTACAGACTCTCCCAGCATGGTGTAGCACTGGGTTACTGCTAGGTTACCCACATCCCATGAATTTTACAGTCCCGTTAGCTCATTGGTCAGGGCCAGTTTTTCTTGGCCATGGCTTTATAATAAAGAAACACTGCAGATAGAGTCAGTATACAGTCAGGATACAAAGGATATATATATATATTAAATGATGTCTTTATTAGAAACACAGTAAAACAAGGTTAGCCATTGATGGGTTGACACATATGACCAAAGGCTCGTAGGAACTCTGCCCTGTGTTTCCCTTCAGAATCGGCTTGTACTCAGTAATCCAAGGTTTGCAGAGCATTTACAAACACAATCTCAAAGGATAGTGAGCCTCGATGGTGTGCTCCCATCTCTGTCCTGGCATGGGAAATGTGGGGTGTCTTTGAGTTTGGTAGAGACCTTTGCTCTTGCCTCAGATGGGCGTTAAGTCAAGAATTAGGGTGCTGGCTGCTCACATTCGCAAAGCTTTCATTGAGTCAGTGGCCTTCAGGTTCTTGTCTCGCTAATTTGAAGAATGGAATTCACAGGCCACAGAGGGTGATTTTTAGGGAGCCGTTTACAGATCGGTAGGTGGGAGCGAAAGAGAGAAAGAGCTGGCAGAGAGCAGGGCCCTGGGGATGCAGGGACGAGGGGCCCTTGAGTTGTCGGTCTGGGAGCTTTTTAAAAGACTTATGGCAGAAATTGGGGAGGAGGATGAGTCGGTCAGTCCAGTTGGCCCAGCCACAGGTGCCCAGGTGCCTCCTCTAAGTAGGTCACCTCGTCACACATCACTTCCAGGCAGGCGTAAGAGGTCACAAGAGACCAGGGAACCACAACTCTGTTCTGGTGCTCCTGGCCTGCAGCAAGGTTATTTTTGGAACTGCCGCTTTGGGGTGCCTGCCCTACCTGGCTGGTTTTTATCTCCGGTTGTAGACGGTTCCATTCCCACTCAGTGCTGGTGAACCGGTGCTTTCTGCCACCAAACGGGCTTTAGAGCCACAGGTGTGGGAAGGCGGCAGAGGTCAATCAGGAGAGGTATCTCCTTTCAGTAAACAGAAAGAAATCTCTGGCCTGGCAGGGGCCTGGCATTGGAGTTGGGCGAGTCAGTCACCTGGCTAAGGGACCCCTCCAGAAAGCAGGACCACCGTTAGCCATACTAAACCGATAGGAGGGATCGTTATGGCTTAATGAGATCCTGTGCCTTTTCTACCAAGAATTCCCAGCCCCTAGCACGGTCCCCTCCAGAGCCACCACGGGGCTCTCTTGGGTCTGCTCGCCTCTCAGAAAACTCTAACTTTCTCTTCAGAAGCTGCCTAGACCCGCCTTCTCTGGTGCTTTTGTTGTTCATTTGTTTTTTTGCTTTTTCTCTAAAGCTTCTTCCCCACCACATGGCCGCTTGCCTGCCAAGTGGCTGACCTCCAAGCCGGCTTTAGAAAGGCATGGTTCTTTCTGTTTTCATTTTTTTTCCCTCCATCTTCTCACCTTCCAACCTCCAACCCCCCTAAACCCCAGGGCGGGAGCGGGGAGGTCCGTGGGCAGCTGCTGAGATTTATAGCTGCCTCCTTGGGGTTTTTCTAAAGTATCCTCAAGCGACCTTTTGCCTTCATTCTTAAATTCTTTTATTATGAAGACTAAGAGTCCTGGAGGGGACCCAGATTTCTCCAGTAACGAGTCTCTTTTGAGACTCCTTCACACTTTCAGTAACAGTACTGGGAAGGGAGCATCAACTGTGCGCCCGGAGGATGTGAGGTCATCCCTGATGCGGCCTGGGGGCTGGGATTATCTGATGGGAGCTGCATGTGATCCACGGCTTTCCAACGGCACCCGGACTCAACGGCGCCTTTTATGCCTCTTGTTTGCACAGCAGCACACATTCGTTTTTGCTTTTTTTTTTTGGTGACACTCCACTTGGCCTGGGGCGGGGGTCCTCTTTTTACTCTTTGCATTATGCAGGGGTGGGGTCAGTTCTCCTCATGGGCTCGGTGTCATCACCCTGCTGTGGCTTCACGGACTTGTAGTAGAGGGGCTGGAGACATGGCTCGGTGGTTAAGAGTGCTTACCGCTCTTGCAGAGAACCCAGGTTCACATTTCAGCACCCACGTCGGGTGGCTCACAACCGTCTGTAACTCCAGTCCCAGAGGTCCCAATGCACACAGGCCCTCACAGGAATCTGCACATAAGCTGTGCAGGCACACACATATGCATTCATTTAAAAATAAATACCAACAAACAAAGAAAACTGTCAATCAGGCTGAAGTGCCTGCTGGCTTAGCTAAGAATATGTATGTATGTATTTATAGAAGGAACAGGTACAAGGTTCAGAGTCGTTAGTGACTGTGTATACTTCATTTCTTGTCCACGTAACAAAAGTAAAACGTCACTAGTGAGTTTACTACTTGATTAAAATAAAACAAATTTGTTTTATAACCTCCAGATTAAGCTGAGTGGTGGTATCCCACATCGTTAATCCTAGCACTAGGGAGGCAGAGGCAGGAGGGGTCTCTGAGTTCAAGGTCAGCCTGGTCTACAAAAGCAAGTTCTAAGACAGCCAGGGGTATGCAGAGAAATCCTGTCTCAAAAACAAACAAATAAACTTCAGATGAAAGAAAAATGAATTCTATGTTACTTTAATGCCTTAGACCCAAGATACCTAGCATTTAAAGATTAATTTATATTATTTTAATAATTTTTGTTAATTTTTTCATACCATGTATTCTGATTTTTTTTTTTTTATCGTACTCTATCTCCTCCCCCAACTCTTCCCAGATCTCCTTTTTAAAGTCTGGTGTGTCTGTTGCGTGCGTGTGCCTCTGGAGGCCAGAGGTGAGAATGGGGTCACCTGGTACTGGAGGTACAGGCAGTTGAGAGCCACCATGTGGGTGCTGGGAACCGAACCCAGGTCCTCTGGAGGAGCAGCCAGTGCTCTTAACACTGAGTCATCTCTCCAGCTCTGACACCCAACGTCTAACCTGTCAATTGTCTGCTGACATCATTGTGTTTGGAGCCGAAGGAGCTAAGCTCTTGGAAAACTGTCTTCTAGAGAAGTCTTCCTCATGAAGCACGCTTTCTACATACAGAACGAATCATGAGAACCCACATGTATTTTATAGAAAATAGGAAATATTTAATGCATATAAATTTATCTGCCTTGGCAATTATTTACAACTGATGATTGATACCAACAATTGAGGTAAAAATATACATGAGGTATAAATATAATATTTAAATGCAAATATTTTATTTCCATCGGCAAGATAACAATGAATAAAATACTGTGGCATTGTATTTTGACAAACAAAGCTCGCTGCATCATTTTTCTCCCCTCCCTTTTTCCTTTATTTTAAAGACGCATCTTGTGGTTAGCAGAGGTGATGTGATTAGTATGTGCATAAAACCGAAAAGTCAGGTTAGCTGGAAGAAAGGGGGTGAGAAACACAATCACATCATTTTATTCAGTTTTAAGCATTCCCTGGGTCCTTATTTCTCAAAGTGTGTCCTTGAGGCCAGCAACCTGCATCCCCTGGGCTTGTTAGAAATACAGAATGTCAGGTCCACCCAGACTGCCTGGATCAGAGCATTTGAACAAGGTCTTCAGGTAATTCCCAGTGTGTACTAAGCAAAGATGCTCCTTGGGAAACAAAGCCATTCGTCCCAGGTGCCCATCAACTAAGCTTCGTTGATGACCTGACCAGTACGTAAAGGGTCGACTAGCATGACGTGCATGATGTAACGGCAGCAGTGAAAGTCCAGTCCACAGAGCACTGCCCAGACAGTGACCTGCGGTCTGACTGACACTCTCCCAGGTAGACATGAGAATGAAAAATTCCTACCCTGATTTTCCTTGTGCCACGCCAGACATACAGAAAACATCTTTAGTCCTCCCAATAAAATGATTGCACACAACAGATAAGAGAAAACACTGGATTAGTGTGTAAACACTAATTGTGTGTAATTGTGTATCATACAACAACCACCCTGAAAAGACACATTTGTTTTTGCTTTTCTCCCAACAACAGTTGCTGAACTGGGTTATCAGTCTCTGTCCAGACAACCTAAGAAAATCTCCCCTGGAAGCCAGACATAATAAGTTATCTCTCTACAGATGTTGCATTACAATAAAAATAGCAAATCCATTCTCACGTTTGCTCAGTCTGTACAATAATAAATAAGGTTGGGGGTCAAACACATGGGTGCTGGTGCCGGGTAATGAAGAAACATAGGATTGATACATCTGCCTGTAATTTTGACAGATAACTAATGATACAGTTTTGGTCTTTTGTTAGTTTAAAACCCTGTCTTTTAAATTGCAAGATTTTTAATGGATTAGATTTTAAGAGCGTCATCTATAGGATACTCTAAATTCCCTGAAGCTGTGATGACTCTGGACACTTGATGGACCATCATCTTGCTTTGTCTGGTGTCCAGAGTCAAGGTCAGTGCAAGAACATGGTGAATCACTGTGGCCGTATTGGCCACTGGTCACATAGATCACTAAACAGCATTATGAGAACTCTCTGAGTCTTGAGAGGACTGGGGGCTCCCTTTAGCTTTGTGGACGGGCTCCACTGTTCACCCCGATGTAGGGGTGGGGGGGTAGCAGTTCTGTTTCGGTCCCTGGTGCCAACTCCAGCGGTCACCTGACATCTCACTCCAATTTCACAGAGTGGGCCCGGAGGCCACGCAGAGTCTAGCCTTGGATTTGGCAGCCAGCTCTTCCCTGTTGCTTTGTGTTAGAGAGAGAAGCAAATGTTATTTCGTTCAGTTTATCTCGACACCCCCACTCCAGTTTTCAAACCTCAGAAAGAAGAGGCCGACGTGGGGGAGAAGCTTTTAAGGCTATTTTTCTTTGGCTAGCTGATCTTTGGGTTAGCATGGGCAGGCTGACAGACTGCCCGTGTCACGCTTTGGTGACAGCAGGTTCTGCTCAGCTGGGACTGGAGGGACATGGGGTCTACAGCAACCTGGGAAGTGCCATGTGAGGAGACTCACAGAGTCAGACAATTACACGTAAAACCATAGTTTACATATATTACAGCAAAGGGAGATGTCCACACGCATGTACAAATGCTACAGTACATTTATTTACAGCTAAAACACGCTTCTTAGAAGCCCTTAAATAGCAAATTAGGCAATGCGTAAGGAGTAGCCCATTTAATTTTAAGCAACATAGATACATGTCCAAGACGTTGTATTAGTAGGGATTAGCCATCTCCCGGCAGGTTAGGAACATACTCCGTGGCCTCCGGTCCCCACCGGACAGTGTTTCCTTCTCCTGGTCATTTGTACAGGCCTCACACCGCGGGTTGGTTTCCCCTTCCTGTTCCCTGAGTTTGACATCACACTGGGGCCAGCTCAGATTTTCGTTTCTGGACCTTCAGCAATGAGGGGCTGGAAAGAGTTTCTGATTCTGGCAACTTCCGCAGCACAGAGGTGTCCGAAGCCTTTGCTGTACCATTCCGGGGAGTGACCCCTGTGGGGAGAGAGCAGAAGGAGGTGGGACATCTGTCAGGGGATAGGGCCGCCCTCTGGGTCATCAGTACCCTGGCAACAGCTTGTGGCTGCGGCCTCACGGGTCTGAGGACCTCATTGTCCCCCAGCATTGTATCACCAAGCTTTCTGTCTTTATAGTTCATCAGGTTCTTCAAGATGACACTAAGTTCTCAAAGTAAACAGGAAGACTCACACTGAATCTAGAATTCACCAAGAACCTACAACAAGCCGGGCGGTGGTGGCTCACGCCTTTAATCCTAGCACTCAGGAGGCAGAGGCAGGCGGATCTCTGAGTTCAAGGCCAGCCTGGTCTACAGAGTGAGATCCAGGACAGCCAGGACTATACAGAGGAACCCTGTCTCAAAAAAACCAAAATCAGTAACAAAACCGCACTGGATTTATATCTACCTAAGCACAGGGTTCAGTGTTAGCATCTTGAATGCCTTAAAGTGTTCAATTCAATTTAAACTAAGGACATGGAGGACACAGGCATATGAGAAACACAGAGGGTCTGAAGAGAAGGCTCAGCCAATGAAGAGTTCGCTGAGGGGACTTGGGGATCCCAAGCAGCAGTCCTCAGCACCTGTGAAAAAAGCGGGGTGTGGCAGAAACAGGAAGTTTTCTTGAGGCTGGATGGCCAGCCAGTCTATCTAGCCAATCAGTGAGCGCCAGGTTCAGTGAGGAACTATGCCTCCCCTCCACGCCAGGCACCCACAGGGAGCTACCGAGGAAGACACTGAGAAGTGACCTCTGCTTGGCCATCTGCTTCCACATGGGCACATGTGCATATGAACATGGACACAGGCATATGCTACATGCACAAGAATCAAAATAAATTAAAACAGAAACGTGAAAGAATAGAATTCCTAGTTACTGAGCCTGATGTACCTGCGTGTTCTGTATGTGTCCTCAGAATAGAAAATCAGGACGCCACCAGGTGATCTAATGACCCTGCTACTGGGTACATACACATTCAGGGAAAATGCAGTCAGCCCCTCCACATCCGCGCCCCCTGCAGAGTCATTCATAAAAGCCGAGATGTGGAATTAACCTGTGTGCAGCGCTCAGTGGTCAGATAAAGCCAATGTGGCACATACATACATACATACATACATATGTACGTACGTACATACATACATACATGAACACTTCTGACTGTCTGCCTATCATCTATCTGTCTGTCCGTCTGTCTATATCTACCTGATAATTCTTAGTCTTAAAAGGGGTGATGCCCTCTTTTTGCCACAATGACGAAGCTGAGGGATGTTCCTGTGTTCAACATGACTAGCTATGCACAGAAGGCTAAGAGCCGTGTAGTCTCCCTTCTGCGTGGAGTCTAAAACCGGGGAAGTTGTGGAATCAGAGGGTAGGATGGCACTGAGCGGAGACTCTAGACTTGGGGAGATAAATGTTGATCACATGATACCGCATTTCGGTTTGACCGCAGGCTCCACGCAGTCATGATGACTACAGTTACTTTCCTCATCATGAATTTGAAGGTTTGTGTGTCCGTGTGCTGTCATCTGTGCATGGTAAGGGACGCCTCCACATCTTTGACCGCTGACTAAGTTCATCTGCTGGGACTTGCGTGCCCCTCTGGTCCTTCTAAAATGTATTTCAGGTGGCTTTAACGAGCAGTTACCTCACTGTGCCAGAGAAGAGCCAGAAGTGTTTGGGGAGCCTCTGTTGATTTTCACTCTAACACCCCGTTCCTTGACTCTACCGACCATCATTCCACCCCCTTCCACGAGGCTGGACTGCTGGCCTCCATGAGTGACCGTGTGCTGTTTGGGTGACTGTAGGGGAAGCATGCTCTTGATCACTGCTGGACATTTTCATACCTTGACCTGATGATTCTGCCATGTGGACCTATGTCAAAACATCCTTGTGTATGCCACAAGCACCACACCATTACATGTTTGGGGGGGGGGGGGGGGGATGAATAAATTAGAAAAAAGAAAAGAAAACGAAGAGCAAATTCTAAAGGTTAAATGTCAGCATTTTAGGAAATGGGAAGGTGAGAGACCATGGTGTGTGCTGGTTCATGGCGGTGAGGACACAGACGAGCGGGAGAGGAAACCGGAGCGACAGACAGGGTTGGCATGCACACACTACGCGAGTTGAGGCCCATGGGAACTTGGTCTGCCAGCACCCAGTGTGGCCACTTACTTCAGGTCTATCCTGCAGATGTGGGTCAGCCTGGACTTGCCGGAACCGCACGGCTCTATCAGGTACTGAGAGTCCATCACCACGGCCCGCACGCCGCCCATCAGCTGGGCTTCTTCATGCTCCACAGACAGGGACACCAGGGTGCACATTCCTTTGGGCAAGTCGGTCTTCCAGGTCCTGGAGTCAGACAAGCCGTACTTCAGAGCGATGACAAGAGAGACAGGAGGCCCCGAGCACACGGCGGAACTCACACGCAAGTCCGCCTGCCCCCAACCTGGGCTCCAGCTCCAATGCTAGGCCCCTGGATTAAGCTAATGGTCTCCATGAGCTTGTGTAAAGTTTACAAAATGAGGCTCAAAGGACAGATACCAGCCTCCCGCTCAGAGGGTGGAAGCTCCGGGACCTGGGTTTGGAATTGAGGCCCCATCCTCGTCTCCTGAAGCCCCCGCCGATCATCAAAAGGCTACCATTAGAATCAGCATGAGCTCACTCAATTGTTCTGTTTGTCTGTGGAGCACAACCATGGGCCGGCCGGACCTGAGAAGCTGTGGAGGGCATGAAGATGCATACACTCTAGGAAGAGCCCTGAAGCCAGTGTGGGAAGTGCAGTGTGTGTCTACTCAGAGCTGGGATCAGGGGCCGGGGCAGGGGAGGAATACAGGGAAGGCTTCCTGGAGGAAGTGATGAAAGTCTTAGCAAACACAGGATCTGCTGATGCCTAATTGGAAAGAAATTGAGCCTGTATTGTCCTGATAGCTTTGTTCAGATAGCTGAGTAGCTCTTGAGTGGGAGAAGAAATGGACAGTGAATTCGTGTGCAGACGGAGACATAGGAAGGTCATTACAGCTGAGTAGTGGAGAGAGCATTCTGACTGGTGCATGGAGGGCATGGGTCCCCATGGATGCAGTCAGATGCTGTCCTCAGATTAATCCACTCTCGGGTTACCTAGTTAACGAGTTCCTGGAGGAGTGGCTTTTCCCTGGAAGCAGCTCTCTGTGGTAGGATTACTCGGCCCTGCAATGTCCTTTGCCATGCTATGGCCTGGAGCTCTCAGGCGGCTCAGCCTCCAGACTCAAGAGGGGAGTACATATCTACTCTCCATAGGAATCACTGCTTCAGATTGTTCCATTATAGACAACAGGAAAGAAGCTGAGACGCTTGGTGAGAACTTGGGTATAAGGAAGTCTGGTGTGTCACAAAGACTACATCGTAACCCTGCCTGCAAGTTCCTCCTCCCTCCTCCCTTTTCCCCTTGAAACAAACAGGGAGTTTCTGCTGGTCTGAACCAGGTCTGGCGCATGGCGAGCTAATCCTCCCACGGAGCACCACGGTCCACCTACTTCTCCTTTAAGCCTTGGGCTACATTGAGAGTTTGCCCTTCCCATCGCCTCACATTACTCAGTCCCTCTAAAACAAGTCAGCTTGAATCCTTCGTTATTTACTGACTGTCCCCGGAGAATATAAAGAGGGGACAGCTTCGTGGATGGAGGAGCCAGGCATGATGGTGCACACTCGGAATCCCTTCACTGCAGAGGTGGAGGCAAGATGTTCCCTGGAGCTTCCCGTCCAGTCCGCTCAGCCTACTACCCCAGGTCCCAAAGAGAGACTCTGCCTCAAAAATAATGAAGTAGATGGCTCCTGAGGAACAACATGCAAGACTAACCTCTGGCCTAGACACATGTGTGCAGGCATGTGCGCACCCACACACCCACACACACAGTCTCTCACACACTCACTCACTCATACATGTGCACACACTCATGCATACTCTCTCACACACACTCTCACACACTCAAACACACATACTCTCTCATACACACACACACACTCACACATACTCTCACACACATACACACAAGTCTCTCACAATACTCTTTCACATATTCTTTCTCACACACATACACACGTCTCTCACATACTCTCACACATATACACACACTTTCACACACACACAGTCTCTCATATGCTTTCACACATACTCTCTCTCCCACACATACACACACACCCTCACATACTCTCTAACACATATACACACACTTTCATACATTCTCTCTCTCACACACACACCTTCACATACTCTCACACATATATACACCCATTTTCACACACACACACACACACACACACACACACACACAGTCTTTCACACACTTTCATACATTCTCACACACACACACACACACACACACACACACAGAAATCTGAACTCTGAGAGGAGACCACAAGGAGCCCGCTGCTGCCCACCACGGGGCTCCTCGGAGCCAGAAGCTGTGACTGGCATGAGGTATGACGGAACAGTCTACAGTAGGCAGCAGGCTGGAGGGATCACTGTGGAGACGGAATGAGGGAAGTTCAGCGCAAGGACTCCCCATCTCCGCAGCTTCCGTCCTGGACAACGCTGCTTTCTGCTTGTGAGTGGGAGGCTTACATTTTAATGCCACAATATGAGTGATGCCCTAATAAGTGGCCAGAGGCCACCCCAGCTAATGGTCCATGTTCTCTGTCAGGACAAGGTTGCCGGGATACATATTTATATTTATATTTATATTTATATTTAGGAGAAACGGACCTTAAAAGTTAAGGTCCCAAGGACCCAAACCAAATGCACAAAGGGCACATGAACAGTCAGCTTTGGTTTGCCCTCCAAGCTCACCTCAGAAGGCAACTATTTCAAATGTACATTTGGGGATTTCGCTAGAGAATCCTCTTACACTGCTGATCCCCGAAGAAGAGATTGTTTAATCGTGTTTTTAATAAAAAGGATATATTGCTCTAATTACATTTTGGCCATGGTCTTAACTCTTCCCCAACCCCTGCTCTTGCTGGTGAAATTGTGCATTTCTGCTGTGCAAACTTCCTGTGATTGGCTGAGCATCCTCCTCCAAGGCCAGAAGGCAGGGATTTGGGGCTAACCCCTGAGGCCACCAGAGACCATATTTCACTGGCAGACAGAGGGCTCAGGAGGCTTGGCCAGGACTGAATTCTGATGGAATGCCCGGTGTCTCTGCACACCGGGACTTTCAGGGCTGAGCAGGAATTTCCACGCCTCACCATTAGTTGCGAACATGTGAGGTCACACACACTCCCATCTTTAAGTTCTCCAAGAGGAAGATCTGCTCCCCCTCTTCCCCCCCACCCCAGGGAGAAAAACAAAACCATGAGAAAAGCCTTTGATTGGCTTTGATTTGCATAATTTGGCAGACAAATCCGACAAACAGCAGCTCGTCTCTGGGCCCCTGTTCTGAGGATATGAGTGATATTCGCGGCCTGATAAACTGTGAGCACCACAGGAGATGGCCCATAGGAGAGCTTGGGCAGAGCCGTGAACAGGTGAAGGTGCCAGAAGCCAGGCACAAACAGGGCAAAGTCAGAGGGGAGCAAGCTTAGAGCCCCAGAGCAGGCTGGGAGGACTCGGAGAAGTCTTTCCCGTTGGCAGCTCCCATCTCGCCTCTGGAGCAGGACCTCATACACCACGCCGGAGGCAAGCTTACCTGAGTACCACGAAGTCTCTGGAGGGATGTGGGGCCATGCTGTTCAGCACGTACTGGTAGATTTCTGTTTGCCTGTCCAAAGACTCCACCACTTTCCACTGCACGAAGTCCTCATCCCATAGGTGGCGTTCCCTCAGCACGCGATTCAGCACCACGGAGGGTGGGGCCTCTACCTCCACCGACGCCTTCCACAGCTTCAGCGGGTTCCCGTCCCCCACCTTGGCAAAGACACGGGCACGAGCTGCAGAGATTACTAAGGGGCCCCCAGACCTCCCCTGCTGTGCCGGGCATTCCAAACCACAGCTGCTTATATAAAGTGAGCCGGCCACACTGCACCCAGAGTTGAAATGCAAATACTTCAGTCCTCAAGCTGACGAGGAGAGGAATGACAATCCAAACAGCCACAGCCACAAACACACTCGAGTGGTGTGAGCCAGACATGGTCTAGTCCACTTGACTTTCACGTAGTTCTCCTCACACGGGCACTCTTAAGAGTGTTCCTCTTTGCAAGTGAAAAACGCTGGGCATTGATTTCCCCTGGCATCACACAGAAAAGGGCACAGACCGACTGGGATCCAGCAGCCCTGCCATACAGCCTAGGCTCCAATGATAGTGCTGTGGGTGGCCTTTGAACAGAGTTTCTGAATGGCACCTGGGCCGCACCTGTTCCAGCAGGGGCTAAGTCCCATGGGTAAGCACACATTCTGCAGCAGGAGCGAATCTTACCTTTTTGAAAGCAAGGTCTGTGTTGTCGAGGCTGGAACATGTGACCCATCCTTTGAATTTCTCCCTGGCTTCTTTCTGGAGGCCTTGGACAAGATGCTCCAGGTATGTGTGGAAAGTTGCCCCGCTCTCTGCCAGCTGTGTTCCCAAGTCTTCCAGGCTGGGGACTCGGATTTCAGCCTCCAAGTAGGAGCTCCGAGACTGGACCACCATCTCGTGAGGAACCTGATCCAGTGAATGCATGAAAGAGCAAAGCCCTGAGCTAAAGAAATTCTGAGGCTGACAGAGACAAAGGCAACTCTCTACAGTCAAGGGTGAGCATGGGCTGTGGGCCATCCAAGATCAGGTCTAAGGATAGGAGGGACCTTCCTAAAGTTGGGAGATAGAAACAGGATTCGTGAGCTTATGTTTATTATTCAAAAACACTGGGGAGCCTTCCTGAGCACGGGTTCCACTTCTCTTTTTATTCCATTTGGCACGAGTGGGCTCAGACAGCGTCACTCATTCACACACGTTGACACACTGAGGGGAAAACACAGCCATGACTCAGGCATGTCTTCACTGTTTGCAGTACAGTTCTCCCACTGACAAATGCCAGTGTTGCCACCGAGGGTGCCAGGTGTCCCAGCCACTTGCCTCTATGACGCACGTATGGCTATAGTCCTAGACTGTCAATTATTCTAGTGATAAGGATTATCCAATCGTACTCAGGCACACGTGCACACACACACACAGAGAAAGAGAGACAGAGAGACAGGCAGAGAGACCGAGACAGAGAGGAAGACTCGAAGTCTTGAGGCAAAAATAAAATGTTTAATTGACCACCTGGCCTTGAACCTGGCAAAGGAAGGCAACTGAACTGTCTGCATGAACAACTGTCATCATGGTGAGCCCCAAGGGCCAGTGACTGCCAATGCCTGGACTGAACGGCTAGCTCTTCATAACTCCTGGGGGCAGAGACCAGAGCTGCAGTGCACACCGCTGTCATCAGAAAACAGAGCGCAAAGAGATAAGAACTATAAACGGGCGACCGTTCATTCCCGGCCTGCGACTAGGTCCAAGACCTCACTCACCTCAAAGAGTCGGTTGCATTCTGTGATCATGTGGGCCAGCCCCTGGGCTGCTGCTAGATTTTCATTGAGGTCCTTCTGATCCGGCTTCCCGGTGGCATATTTCTTTTGGATGACTCTGCAATTGAATATGAATGCGCTAAGCAGATCCCCCAGCCCGGGTATGTTGGGATACCCAGATAGTCTCATCTGTTTGCTGTTTATCCCCAGATGAGGCCCAGACCCCAGGCTTTCTCCTTTCCAAATTAAAACCATTGACCACACATCTCTAGATGCTCCAAGGCAGGCTGGCAGGCTGACAAGGCACAACCAAAAGCCATGGAAAAAAATACAAAGACAGGAAGAGCTGTAGGTGGAAAAACGATTTGTTTTCTCCACTTGAAACCGCTCAACTGCAGGTTCCCGTGCGCTGTCTTTTAAACATCGCCTTTCTAAAACCAAGGATTGTAAGATTCCTTTTTATGTGTGTTCCTTCCCCTTCCCAATTAATAGAACAAAATCAAACTTCTCTGGCTTTCTGGATCTCAACCGACATCCTTCAGGGCTACCTCAGTGGGGCCATGAGCCCCAGCCCAGGGATGAGGGTGCCTCCTCGTCTTCTGTCTGAACTCTACCACGAGAACACTTTTGTTTTATTTTCCCGAAGAAAATGGACGTTGGCGGGGAGACCCGGTTCGGGGACGAGGGCCAACGCTGAGGAAACCTCACCTGGGCGAGCTTTCTTTCTTCAGCAGGTTCAGGTGAAAGAGGGAGGGGGCCAGACACACGGCCAGGTTCATGGGCGTCATCTGATTCTCTTCCACCAAGTTCACCACGTCGTGGAGGAAGCACAGGAGGGTCTGCAGGGCCTCCCGGTTCTCGTCCGCCAGCAGCAAGATGGCCGCCTGCACCGCCTGCAGCCGCTGTTCCTTGGGGACATCTGAAGAGAGGTGGGCATCGCGTTGTCAGAGGGGTACGGCCGAGAGAGTCAGCAGGGACCAAGGCAGGAGCTCCCCTCCCCGAGAGAGAACACTCAGAGACGTCGGCAGTAGCCAACCTGAGAAGTCCCAGTGAGGGGCAGCGCTGGACGGCGAAGCTCCTCTGGGCAAACTTCAGAACCCATCGGAGTGTCCCAGAGCTGCTTGGAGCAGAGCTACCACAGTGGCTTCTCACACTCCGAGCACCAGGCTCTTCTATCTAAAGAGGGTCTGTTTTAGTGGGAGTTGGTGATGGGTAGGGGCTCTGTTAATCTGGCTTCTTTCTCGCTCACCTTCTCTGCCAGGCAGCTCCGGGGACAGCCGAGGCTGGGTGGGACACACTCGTGGAAACCACTGGGCCAAAGGACAAAGACCTACCCTCCCCCACCACAGCAGAGCCGCAGGCCATGCTGCTGGCCTGGTACAATAAACATGAGCGATGGATGGATGAGCTGTTCGCCCTTGGCCAACCCTAGGGAGCCAGTGCCTCCGTGGTGAGCATGATAGATCCTTCTGTCCCCACAAAGTCACCAGGGCTCAGTTTGGAGAAGGTACTGATCTGACTTTGAGAGGTCACCCAGTGTGAGGGAAAGGCATCTCAGCTTCCCTCTGAAGGTGACTCCTGTGGAGGTGGTGGGCAGTGCCTAGATAGGCCTAAGAGGCAACTAGCTCAAAGGCACAAAGTGCAAAACAGAAAAACCACAACAAATTGGGAACAAGGGACTGTATTTTGCTGTCCTTCTGGCTGTGTTTGGTTCATGATCATTTAGGTTTGATTCAAAGACACAGACAGGAGCTCACTGGTGAATATGGCTGTCTTCCTTAAAGAGCCACGCTTGGGAGCAGAGGTCTCCATAGTTGGGTGTTTACACTCCTGAGGTTCGGGGCAGAGTGCTCATGACAATCCCTTGGAATTTCAGTTGTGCCTTATAATGTACACACTCTCTCACTGTACATCTCTGTGTCTTTAATGTGCTAAAAAAATAAAGAGCACACACTCAGATATCCATTGCTGATAGAGGTGCATGATAGAAAAGAACTGGCAATGGCTGAAGTGGGTCCCTCCCACTGATCCAGGGATGAACCTTCTGGGCTCATACCAAAGGTAGTCATCTAAGCCGGGTGGTGGTGGCGCACTCCTTTAATCCCAGCACTCGGGAGGCAGAGCCAGGCAGATCTCTGTGAGTTCGAGGCCATCCTGGGCTATGGAGTGAGATCCAGGAAAGGCGCAAAGCTACACAGAGAAACCCTGTCTCAAAAAAAAAAAAAAAAAAAGAAAAAAGAAAAAAGAAAAATAAAAAAATCAAAACAAAAACAAAAGCAAAGTTGTTCACCTGGTTCCTCTTTCCACTGACCGCTTTAGGGTCATTGTAAACCAGTTCAGGCTGACGAGACCAGTGATGATGCTAGGAGCTTCTGTGAGGTCCATGTTGTCTACGAGAAGACACACATGTCCAAGGAGATGCTTGGCTCTCGCTGGTTGCCTTGGAGTGTGACTTTATGGAGACGTGGTAATTCTGTATAAGTTGTGGCAGCTGTATGGAGACTGAAACACTCCTTAAGGACACTTAGTCTCAGTCTGACATCGGGTGGCAGAGACAGTGACGGCCGAGCACCACTGGGTCTAGGTTTACCCGACACTGGCATGGTTTAACTCCATTCTTCTTTTTGCCACGTGGACTAATAACTCGTCCTTATTGTTAAATAACCGTGTGTGTGAGGTTGGTTCTGCTTCGGCACTATAACTAAGTCTTTCGATACCCGACGGTTCCCCAGTTCTTACCAGATCCAGTATAAAAACCTTGCCCTAGTTTTTAATGCCACCTTCATGTGACCCTGGCCTCCTAAATTATTAGTGTCTCCTGGTGTAGTGTTGTAAATTTAGCATTCGTACAGGACACATCCCTTGCACACTTCTGACACAGGCTCCTATCACTTGCTGCATCCAAAATGTTCCTTCCCAATGACCTCCAGCTGTCATCGTCTCCCACCAAGTTCCTCCTGCTCACCCCAACCTTCGTGGATCTGTCTTTAGTTTTTGTTCTTTTGAACGGGTGCTCTCTAACTGGATTGCGGTCATTTTTGCTCTGGTCTCATCTCCCTGCAGTCTAAGATCCCTAAGAACAGACAGCGGGCGAGGGTCACACGGTCTCAGCTCTGCAGCGCTCAACACAGCCCTGCTCTGTAAATGTTTGCTCGGATACAATGAGGCCCTGCTGTGATCTGGCTTCTTGGTTGTAGGTCTAGGCAAGAGCCAAAAAGATATTTATCTCTTGGAAATGATTTAGTTTTAGCCATAGATAGTGTCAACTTCCACCCAAGGACTGATTAAATGTAAATACTATGTCCACAAGGATGTTTAATTGAAAAACAGAAAGTGACCTCTTCCAGAAATATCACCCACCACGAGCATTTTTAGGGGGCTCCCATATCATTAATTCAGCTTAACCTATTCACTTTGGCAAAGTAATATTTGTTTAGTGTGTCACCCCTTTATTCTGTTCTGAGAATTCTGTTCTGTTCTGAGGTGGTACTTAGAGTCCTCCCTGAATTTGTAATATTATGCACTTTTTTTTTTTTTTTTTTTTTGTTTTTCGAGACAGGGTTTCTCTGTGTAGCTTTGTGCCTTTCCTGGAACTCACTTTGGAGACCAGGTTGGCTTCGAACTCACAATGATCCACCTGGCTCTGCCTCCCGAGTACTGGGATTAAAGGCGTGCGCCACCACCGCCCGGCATATTATGCACTTCTTAAACACATTTGGTACAGAGTGTCTGTAGCAGGGACCTTCAGAGTGGATCAATTCCATCTCGGGACCCACTTGAGGCATATTTTGTTGTAAAAATCAAGGTCTGTGGGACAGAGTCATTTCCCCCTAAGAACTGATACCTGGGCCACGAAGCTCATTGCCAATTTGTTATGATATCATTATCCTGCTGAGAGAAGACGTGCATGCTCCTTTCTAACGTCTGCCTGGGTAACTCCATTTAGCAGAATGGGCTTTTAAATCAATTGTTCTTCTCATTACTACTTTAGCTATGGCGGCTTTGTGAGGAACTACTGACTTAATGTCACTTGAAATCTTCCAAATGAAACCATAAGTTAGCCGAATTAAGGTATAACCTTGATTTGGTTCGGTTACATTTCCCCGGGTAAAATACATCTGCTTCTTGTTTGTTTCCAGTCTTTATAATACATTCGACTCTGCATCGACTATCAAATTTTGTATCAAAGAGAATGTTTACCTCCCCAAAATTAAATTAGGTTTATTACACACACATACTAAATTCTATTGGATCCTTTTTTTTTTGTTTTAAATATATTAGAAATACATTGGAAATTAGCTTGAGATTGTATACAAAGATGTACTGAATAGGCATATATATTGATGTTGGGAAGGTATATTCAGACACCAACAGAGAATGACATGGAGGGGTCCATAGCAAACTGCCGGAAGCCATCCCAGGTGGTGGATGGGTCCTGCGGAGGATGTAAGGAGTCCGCAGGAGAATGAAGTGAGCCAGGCCATGGTGGTCGGGAGAATCTTGCAGCCTGACTGACTAGCAGCCAGAGTGTTTCTTTATTTATTCAGAATTTAGTTAGCAGGGATACATTCATGATGTTCCAAAACATAGATCATATCATTTTTGTTTTTGACATATGTTTCACTTCCTTTTGCTCATCTTTTAGTCACCATTAATAAACTATGACAGAACAGAGTTATCATTTCCAGTCATTTCCCCTCAAGTTTTGACATCATTAATAAACAGAGTTATCATTCTTACTCGTTAACCCGATAACCCAATTTTTAAGAATCTAGAGGCATGTGACAGCCTGTTCTCAGGCTCATAGCTTTGGTTGCTTCAAGGACACTAGACCAAAACAAAACCACCCTGGGCATTTTGCCATGTCCCAAGCTGTGTATTATTAACTCTTAGTGGTCAGAGTGCCCAAGAAAAATCCTCAGGCCAAAGCTGCTGCAATTATTATTCAAATTCTGACATAATACAATCAATGTTCTCATTTATGTCTTTATAGAATTTGTTTATATGTCTAATCCTGGCATTTTGTTCTTTCTTGGTCATATGACATTATGGTGGCTCTGCATGAGCTAACTTCTAAGAGAGGGAGGTCCTAACACCTCATATTTTTATCATCTTTCCACTCCATACTTTGCTCATTAATATGTCTCTGTGTAGGGCAGAGATATATGTCTGAGTGTGCAGTGGGAAGAGGCTTGTAATCTGAACTGTGGCCAATTCCTCTAGTTCACTAGATCTTGTTGACTTTTTTTTTTTTTTTTTTTTTTTGGTTTTTCGAGACAGGGTTTCTCTGTGTAGCTTTGCGCCTTTCCTGGATCTTGCTCTGTAGACCAGGCTGGCCTTGAACTCACAGAGATCCGCCTGGCATGGTCTGCCTCCCGAGTGCTGGGATTAAAGGCGTGTGCCACCACCGCCCGGCCTTGTTGACCTTTTTGAGTTTGTTTTGAATAGCTTATTCCTGTGAAAGTACAGGGACAGATATTTCCAGAATGTCTCATAGCCTCATGAAGAGACCTCTGGCTTCTTTATGTGTTACAACCTCCAAGGCGTAAGGAAGACCTTCAAGTAGATAAGGATATCTCCCTCAAAGCGGGGGAATAGTATGTTCAGGACTGTCCTGAGGAAGCTTAGAAGCAGCATTCCTGGGAGAAGGCATAAATGATTCATAAGGAATTTTCCATCAATCCAACATCCTCAAATTGTACAAATATTAAAAGTACCCCAAGTATGTAACAGGTGGAGATGAAAACCAAAGGTGACATGGCAGCCATCATGTGGCTCAGCTCTGCTGGATCTTTGTCAGCCAGCTATGTTGGCTTTATGACTTCTGCCATTCCATTCAGATATGGCTGTGCCAGCAAACTAAGCAAAGGCTATTCTGAAGAGGTAGGATTATAACTTTAATATACTTCTTCACAGATCCATGAATTACTTGTATAATTAAAAGTCTTTTGCAGGGCTGGAGATATGGGTCTGCAGCTAAAATGGTGACTGTTTTCACAGAGGAGCTGGGTTCTGTTCCCCGCACCCACATGGTGGCTGACAGCCATCTGTAACTCCAGTTCCAGGGTAATCTACGCCCTCTTCTGGCCTCCATGGGCACTGCATGCTTGTGGTACACATACACTCATGTAGACACACACATACATAATAAATAAGTCTTTAAAATTCCACCCTTTTGACGGTTGGGCACACTGTGTTATTGCTACTTACACTGATAGATGTGGAGGAAGGTCTCGCTGAGCTTATTGGTGAACAGGGGCTCGGGGAGGTCCCGGAAGAACTGCTTTACCATGTCTGCTACATCATACGCAGACTGGTCTTCGTAGCTCACGTTCTCAGGGAAGTTCTCGTTCATTTGACGCAGAGCATGGATTCGAGACTTCACTCCCGACTTGCGGAAAAGACCCACCTGAAATGAGTCACAGGAATGTGTAAGCCAAGTCTCCTTTCTCCTCACAGCTTCTTCCTCAGGGTAGGAATCCTGGATGTGAAGAGGAGGCCCAGGGCCAGGCTGGATGAGCTGGGACTCCACCCTGACTCCACAATTCTGAATTTCCAGTATAGCTACGTTAGGTAATAGTCAAACACTGACTCCCTCTCCTGTCAAATAAAGACATGGATAATATCCCACCCCACAGAGCTGGAGCTTCAACGTCCAAACACATGTGGATGAGCTTTCCGAATTGTAAACTCTTAGAACAGTGGATGGTGTAATTTTACTCGTTTTTTTTCAACAAGTATCCAGACAAGGCATTCTTATACTAGAAGTCATTAGTGAGCAGAGAAAGAAAAAAATTCTCTCTCCTTTAACATTTGAACTTTTGTGGGGAAATTTTGAAATAGTTTTTTTTTGTTGTTGTTTGTTTGTTTTGATGGGAGGTTTGGTCAAAATGATGTGCTTGGAGAATGGGCGCATCTCAGAGACACAGGCATCTCCCTTTGGGGGTGAGTCTCTGAGGAACAGGCTTCTGAAACAAAGTATTAGAAGCACATATTCTGAGCACCTCATTTGACTTTCTTTCTTTGAAATACTCAGCACCTGTGATGTGTGTTTCTCACATTATGCCTGAAACTTGACATGATCAGTTGGGGGTGGGCACGACTCCTTCCTGGGTGGCTTTTTGTAGATAGTATCATATGTGAGGAATGCAAAAGAAACGAATGGTAAGTAAGAAAAAACTCTATTTTCAAAAAAGTATGAGATACTTGGTAGAAATTCCAGTTCCTCCAGGTTCAGCATTTCATGGAATCAAAACATGTGCTCCAGGTTGTACTGAATGCTCGAAATTGTGTTCTGCTCATCAGCTGCGTTGATTTAAATCAGCTGACTGCATGAGAATGTGAGGCTGAGCTCTGCACTCAGAATGAGGAGGGACCACTGCCGGCTGTGCGTGCACACTTACGTACAGTGTGTACCCTTCTGCAGAAGTAGTTTTTATTTTCGCCTTGGCTAAAGACTATGGGTTATGCGGCTGTTTTCTTGAGACTCCAGACCCATTTCTTACACCCCATTGCAGCCTCTCATCTTTAGCACTTAGACCCCTTGCTGCCTGGTAAACATAGTGGAATGAGCATAGTAAAAAAATGCCTCTTAGACAGGTAAAAACAGCCTAGTCAGGAAGCCCACTACCCAAGGCTGCACCTGATAACTAGAACCCAGTGACATCACTCACTCAAGACAACCAGACAGTCCTAGACTCCATGACAACCACTGGACAGTCTATAAACAGAGACCAAGAGCAATGTTCTGCTCTGCACATCTGGAGGCACACCACCTTGTCTCCGCGCCTGGAGAGTCTCTGCCAGGATCTGGACCCACGAATCAGAGACTTCTGTTAGAGACTGGACCTGACCTTTGGCTAAGATGTGACACACAGGTGAGCAGCCTTGGGGAGATAGGCTTAGGACTGTAGTTAGGAATTTAGAGTGTGAACCTAGTGTGATGACCCTTCGCATAATAAAATACATTTTTTGTAATACTAACTCTGTGTGTCTCCCTTCTTGCTTGCAACAATTAGCAATAAGATACCAAAAATATAAGGACCTTAAGAGGGACAAGTGAGGTGAGCAGAGCCCTTATGGTACAATGAAGACCCTGAGAGGAATCTGGTAGATAAAGTTCAGTCGCCTCTAGGAGCCCTCTACCCCGGTCTTGCCCTATCCAAATCACAGCTGAGCTTCCCTTGGCTTAGATATATGAGCACTGAATTCTCAACACCCAGCCTTCCAGTTTCTGCTTGCCATTCTCCTCGCTCCCCAGGGGAATACAGATTAGCTCACTTCTTTGAGAGCAAGGTGGAATGTTCCTGAGTGGCTGGACAGATAAAGAGTGGCAGGTGGGATCGGCCATTATTCTACCCTAGATATCTGGAGAAACACATGAATATAGTTGTCATACTAACTCTGGTGTCTCTTGCTTGTTGCTATAAATGAAAGCAACAGTATTACTATTACTATTATACTACAGGAACAAGGGGAAATTCCAAGCCATTAGGGAGTTTGTGCATGTCAGCTGCATGATCACAGGGGAAATTAAACATTGCTGCATTCTCTGGTAATAAAACAGAATTCTTAGGAATAGCTCTTTGCACTCCAGGGCTTATCACCGAATTCCACAGATCAAGATATTCAGGCAGATTGCTATTTAATGTGCTAGCTGCTTTGTTCCAAGTTTGCAGTGTCTAGAAAATGCCATCTTTAGCTCGATTTGAATGATTCTCTGCCATGGAATCTAGAGAACATTTGTTTTTCCTGGTCTGGCAAGTATTTTAAATTGCATCACGGTGCACAGGAAGAAACATTGCATTGTTAGTAACAACAACAACAACAACAACAACAACAACAACAACAACAACAAAAAGAGATCAAGATAGGTAGCAGGGGCTTATTGATGTGAGATCCATCTTCGATTTCCTTACATCCTTGAGTCTATGTAATTTTGGAAGGAGGCTCCGAACTGGGTACATCTCAAAGCTGTACTAACCACACTGGTTTTCACAGGTCGCAGTGCCCCGAGGACGTATCCTTAAATGTGACTCACAACTGTTGGTCCTCATTTAATTTTTCTCCCCTCAAGCAGAGCAGCATCGACCAGGGTCTATAAGAGGATAAGAGGAGTGCTTGTGTGGCTATTGTCCAGTCCAGCCCTTTGGCCGACTGCGTCCCGTGGCTCCTTGGGAATCTGCACACATGTACGCTCTGGATGCTTCTTTGTGTTGCTTGGTTCCCAAGTTTCTTGTTTTGGAAAACACGGTGATTTCAATTATTTCCAATCAGTCCAGGGCTCTCTGGCTGTGGGCTCCAAGCAAGGTGCCCCTTCTAACTCTGAGCTCGCAGGCTGACTGGAGAGTCATAGGGGATTGATTCATTCTGCTTCAGATTCTGACAGAAACCTCCTCCTCTGTCCTCACCTCCCAGGGGATGTGGGAGACATCCCTGGGTTCTGTGGGTTGTGCTGGAAGCCTAGAAGAAAAACTGCTTCCTACTCTTAGTAAAGGCAAAGTGGCTCAGAGAGAGAGAGAGAGAGAGAGAGAGAGAGAGAGAGAGAATGAGAATCAGTTCGGATTCTAGGTACAGTAGCTAAGAAAGGCCCCAAAAAATACAGTCTTCAGGAAGGCACCAGTGAGCTGAGGAATGAAGAAACCTAGGAATTTCTGTTGTCTGACTCTTACTTTTCTATGTGAATGAGGTGGTGAATTCCCTGATGTCTGAGGACTGGGGTTTCTGTTAGTTGCAGTCAGCAGTACCTGGACACGGTAAGAAGGCTGTCCTCCTGAAGGTGCGGTAGTTCTGAGCCGAGGGGAGGGCATCTCCTATCTACCTATGAAGGATGGCTAATTGCCAGCAGCTTCCAATGCAATGATAAAATTGCATTTTGGACCTAAGATGCTGTGTTCTAAGTAAAGGACAGAAAGTGGTTTTGTTGTTGTTGTTGTTATAAGAACACTCTCCACATTCCTTCCGAGGAGAGGTAACCCAGGCCTTTCAGATCCTTATGAGAGAGAGCCAAGGAGGGTGACATGTCTCCCGGTTACTGCTGTGTCTGTCACCAGTGGGTGGGTGACCTGGGTAGTTGTACAGGAACCCACAGCCTGTTGAAGGCTCTGTTGTCAGTTTTGAGATTCTCAAAAGTTTATGAACAAGGAGGGGCTGGAGAGATGGCTCAGCGGTTAGAGCACTGGCTGTTCTTGCAGAGGACCTGGGCTCAGTTCCCAGCACCCACACAGAGGCTCACAACCATCCATTCCAGGGGATCTGACTCCCTCTTCTGGCCCGAGTAGACATCAGGATGATGCACATACACACACGCAGGCAAAACAGTCATATAATAACATACAAATGACTACATCTTTTAAAAAATGAAGAAAAACTGGAACGAGGGATCCTCCATTTTCATTTTGCACTGGGTCCCAGAAATCACACGGCAGGATTGCTCTTCACCTGCCTTCCACACACCTCCAATAGTGTCGTTCGGAGGTGGCTGGTGCTCCGTTGTGAGAAACCCACTGCTCCAACACCTCTCCTGCCGGTGAGGCCCTCACTGACCGACAGAAGGACGAACGGCGAGTGTCCCTTTGGGTTTCTTTCATTCATTTTCTCTCTTGTTTTCAGTCCCTAAACCCAGCTACCTAAAAAGCCAGGGCTCCAGGAGTGGTTTCCACAGGTTTATATATGAAGACCTGATCACCCTTCATCGGGTCTCAGGTAGTCAGTCAGCTGACAACGTGATGAGCAGGCCGCAGGGTGGAGAACACTTCCCCGAAAGTGAAGTGTCTTCCCAGAATTATTAGGCTGTTAAATCTCCTGGCTCCGTTAGAAGGAGTGGCTGGGCGTTGAGTGCCGCATTGGAATTCAAATTCATCTAAATAGTCTTAAATCTCCTCCCTGGCATCCTGTTTATGCTAATCCTCGCAGAGCTTAATGATGTTTATCAGGACTTCCATTTCCTCTTCTTTAGAAATGGGCTCCGTTAATGAAGAAAGGTTGGCTTTATTCAGGAAGAGAGTCACAGAGTGTGTGCCGGGCAGGGATGCGATGCAGGAGCCAGGGCTCACCTGTGCTGAGGCTGACGGGTGATTTAGGATGGCGGGGAAAGCTCACACAACAGAGCAAGGCTAGTCTCACAGGCTACCGTGTGTGAATACAAATGGCTGGCCATCGAAGGCCGACCCTCTTCGATTCATCTGCAGCCATCAGAAGGGTGAAAATGGGCTCACTGCACTTCCTCGTTCATAAACTGCACTGCGCAGGGATGAGAGAGGCAAAGAGCTGGCAGCGCGTCAGGGTTCTGCGCTTTGACAGCCCTCCGATGAGGACTGATATTCCAAGTGGATGCTTAGCCGTCGGGAAGGGACCCCACCCATTGCCGGTGGCCTCCCACTCTGTGCCCAAGGCCAGTGCCTCAAGGCAGCCTCAGATGATGGTTCCCATAGAATGTGGCTTACAGGGAAGATGTTTGAGGGCATTCTGGTCTTCCACAATCCTGGGTTGAGAGTGCAAGGCCCTGTGCAGAAGCGGATCTTTTCAGTCCAGTGAGACACCAGCGGCAAAGAAAGAACATCGGCTTCCCCTCCCTTCCTAGCCCCGCCTCCTGCTCTTCGGGCTCAGCGGCTTCCATGTGCGCTAGATCTCCAGGGCAGCCTCCCCCCTCTGCCCCATTTGTTAGCATTTAGGCATCTACACTGGCCTGCTCTCAGGGACCTAGCGGGCATCAGCGGCAGCAGGCAAGACATGACACTGTAGCTGCCGCAGCCACCAAGTGGAGCACTCTCCCTAGGCGCATGCGCTACATCCCCTTATAAAAGGCAAGCCCTTCCGGCCCCTCTCTCTCTTTCCTTCTGCTCTCTCTCCCTCAGAGGGCACCTCTGCACCTCCCCCAGTAAACCTGGCACGTGAGCTCTGTTGCATGTGTGGCTTTGTGGTGCCCCCTTGGCTCCAACCCGCCAAGGTTGCCTTCCTGCCGCTAAACGTTCTATGATTCTCTTGGCTTCTTCCTGCTTCTCTAGCTCTCCTTGTTTCTGCTCTTCTGTCGCCTCTCTGCCACATGGAGGAACTGTCTCCGTGCTCTCTACGTGTGTCATGTAAAGGGAGGACCGTTCACTGTCTACGTGCTCCCTATGTGTGTCATGTAAAGAGAGGACCGTTCACTGTCTAGGTGCTCCCTATGTGCGACAGGCAAAGGGAAGGCCACTCACTGTCTACATGCTCTCTATGTGCGACATGCTAAGGGAAGGCCACACACAAGGCAGGGCCATTGCAGGGTTAAGGTGGACAGTAGCTCCGTCCCTTCAGACCTTCTGCAGCTGCTCTCTTGTGACCGACCCAAGGAAAGCTCTTCCTTCCCAGTCGGGCTACACTGCTTATCAGTGTCTATGTCCTGGACAGGGACTTCTTCCAACAAAGCTCTGCACACATTTTTTCCAGCATGGGATTCTTTGAGGCTGATACTGGAGAGAAGCCAGTAGCAAGGCTGAAGAGGTCTGTATCCCCATTTTCCTTTCTTCCTATGACTTTATTTTCTCTCCACAGTTTTGGCTTCAGAAGGGAGATGGGACCAATCATAGGGGTGATTCCAGTGCAGACATCATTAAGAATCCATGGGGTGGGGTGTGCTTTCTATCCCGTAGCATTGCAATTCATTTATTCATATCCAAACTGGTGCAAGAAAGAGCATGACTTATAATGATCTACACAAGGTTCATTGAGAGATATTAGAAAGGAAAATTACAACAAAGGGAAAATAAAAATTAAAAAGTGTAACTGGAGCTGGGAATGAGGTTGCAAGGAATTTGTACCCGGAAGAGGTACCAACATTTACAACAGGCAGAACATGCCTTTGGCTCTGAGCTTTCCAGCAGGCAGTACACAGAGGAAAACACACCCAGTTAGATGGATTTGGAGTTTACAATACAAAACACAGGCCAGTGGGCCAAAAGAAACACATGGTTCCCGAGTACTGAAGCCAGGGGCGAGGGGGCCCTTCCTTTAATTCTCACAGAACCGGCCTTACATGACATAATGGCCAGTGCTGTCAACAAAATCTTGACAGTGGATTTATCAATGAGGGTTGTAGTTGCGGGGGCAGCGTCACACCCAAGCCCGATGGGAAAAAGCCCCTTCCTGCCCAGTGAGCCAAAGGGCAAATCAACAAAACCCAACAGAGAAGGCTGCTGTGGGGTTTCCTGCACCGTTAACACGTGTATTGAACGAAGGCTGCTCCAGAATTCTGGAAACACGCTGCCCAAAGGGGGGCAGTCTGGGAAGCCTGAGTGTGGCTTTTATTTGGGGCAGAGTATGAAAGAGAGAATGGATGGTAATTTGGAGGAGCTTTGTAAATTATGGGATGGATCTCATTCTGTGCTTGGTCAGAGCCCACCGTTATGATGGTCCTCAGACTGTCCTGGAGGCAGAGACCCATCTGATCTGAGTATTTCCCTCCCATGACCTTTGCCATCGGCTCTCCGGCAAGGGGCTATTTGGTTCGGCTGATATGGCTTTCTCATTTTACTTGTGAATTTTGAAAAAAAGTGAAAAAATCTGTTCTGCTCATTGTGCTGCTCTGAGAAGTTAATAAAGGGAGACACAAAACTAAATTCTCTTTCTTTTTTTTTTCTTTTTCCCCTTCTTCCAGAAACCATGGAACAGTGATGAAAGAATGCTGTAGCGTGAATAACAGCGTTGGGATAGTAATTTAAAACGTAGCACAGTCCACAGCTGCTTCCCGGTTTCAAGGGAGTGTAAATCAGACAGTATAGACACAAGTTATTAACACCGACTCCCTTTGATCAGCCAGGCTGTCACTCAAGCAGCCAAGGAGGGAACATTGCCCAAAGCTAGACCGGGGTGAAGCCTGGCCATATTAAACCACGGTTTTCTCTTGGTGAGGTCGGACTCAGGCTGCCACCCGGTCCCCGCAAGCCCATGTTTGGGGTTTACCACTCTACCTGATCCAGACAGCTGCTACGCAGATACCTCAGTGCTTGTTGAATGCTCTGAGGCAGAGGCTGTCCTGTTCTCTGGACGTGGACTATGAGTGGGACACCGAAGACAGCCTTGTCTTTGTAGTCAGGAACCTTCGTCCTCTTCATGAACTTGGGAACGGACCTGGAATTCACAGAAACCAGGTCATGCAAGGCCCCCGGGGCGCACCGTGCAGCGAGGCTGTGGAAGCAAGCGAGAGGGAGGCAGGCTCCGGTTGGAATACCTCAGAGGCAAAGGCAGACCGCAACCTTCTCTACATCAATCCCAGCCTACGATGCTCTCCGTGCGGCCCTTGCCTGTGTGTCCTTTCTGCTAAACAGATTCTGTGATTCACATTAGCAAATTGTCCCTGTAGCTCCGTTTCCTAGTCGGGAGTGGTGGGCAGTGTTCCAGTTTGATTGTGACTGAATGAGCGCCCATGTGGCAAACACTTAAAACTCCCCAGCGGAACGAAACAGAATGTATGTAAAACTCACAAGAGGAAGAAGAAATCTGGTTGGGGTTGAAGAAACTGAAGAGGGAAAATGATGACCCGTAGTTTCTTGGCTATGTCTTTGGCTTTCTAGAACCAGCTCTACATTTTAAAGGGAATTTTAACACACATGTATATATTGATTTGGTCACACAATTTACAAGCTTTGAAAACATCTTTATAAACACAACATTGATTCTTCTATACATATTATACGACATAATGCTTTCTGTTTTTTCACATTCACTCACCATTCATCCACAGTAAGTCTACATACACTATTGATTTTTATCAGCTCCTTAATTCCAAAAACATACCGCAAAATCTCATTTTTACTTGCCAATGAAAGCAGAAATGTACTTGAAGAATGAGCCAATCAATGCTGTAAGGGGGTGGGTTCTGCACCCGACCACAAGGTACCAATGACAGATGTTTCTCCACAAACTGCCAGCAGTATTTTGTGGCAGGTTTATTTCTAATTCCTCTGCTCACAATTTATCACTCTTTGCTGGCCTTGCTTCTTTCTCAGAACCTGACTCCCTTCCCCGGAAACCGACCGAGATCTACCAATAAAGCAACGTCTCGTGTGCTTCATCGGGCCTCGCCCGGCTGCCCAGAGGGCAGGCGACAAGCAGAATGCTCTGTGGTTTCCAGGAGAGGGAAATGTAGACAGCGCTAGGTTCTCCAGACACCAGCATATAAACGCTGGAGTCTTTTCTGTAGCTGCGCACTTAGCTCTGAACGTGTGATGCCCTGTGAACGGGCTACGTACCAGGTCCAGCCGTGCTTGCTGGACATGGAGTACTTCTCCATGATGGCTGTGAGGCGAAGCAGTGAGAAGCGCTGCAGCAGGTTCAGCTGGGCCGCTGTCTGGCTGCTGATGTGCGGCGTGGCCGGAGACGGCTGAGGCTGATGTGAGAGCTGGAAGCTGCTCCATCGTAGTCGCCTGGAACAGAGACGATCGGAGCTGCCAGTCACCCAGTGGTAACGGGGAAGCTCAAGCTAGCTAGCCCTTCGGAGTTTCTGAGCCAAGAACATCACAGTGCAAAAGGAACAAAGACAAAAGCTGTGGATTTGACAAGTTGTATAAACCCAGAATAGGGCATATCGATTATTTCATGGTGGGATTTAAGTAAGTGATATCATCCTTTTTTTTTTTTTTTCAAACTTTGTTTGCTTGTTCTCAAATCCACTTCCAAAGTTCAGGGCCCCTAAGTCAGGTGCACGCAGGTGTGCAGCTGTGTGTGTGAGGCAGAAAGAGACAGAAAAAGTAAAGATGAAAGAGACAGATGGAGACAGACAGAGAGGTGGGGGAGAATCATAAAACAGAGGGCTCAAGGAGAGAGAGAGAGAGACAGAGAGACAGAGAGGGAGAATATGATGCCAGGGAGATTCTCAGACACTGAGGTGGTACAGCATCTCCTACTTTTATGCCTGCCTCCTCACTGTCCTTTGTGGCTGAGATAGCACCTGCAGGGGACAGGCACAGATGGCATATATACCGCTGAGTCCTACAACACGCCACCGCCTCATCGGGAACCCCGGTGGCACACACACAGTGCTGCTGGGGACAGGAGCTGGATCCCCTCAGTTCCTTTCCTAGGGCGCCTCTGCACATCAGCTTTGTGTGCTGTGTGAGCAGGAACTTGAACAGCGAAGATCAGGCACAGATATGCCTTAGATCTCAGAGAATTCAACACAAAACTAGTGCGCAGGGGCTGGGCCCCAGTTGTCTGCGATCCCCCACCTACAGCGCTTGTTTAGATTTTTCTGGAACAAGATTAAGTTGGAAACAAACGATAAACAAAGAAATGAATGTGTACCGACATGGATTCAGTCTCTCTGTCTGTAGAAACAGCAACTCTGTTGAAATAATTCCTAACCCTACGTGTGTTTAAGAACAGCCCCAGGTGATTGCACAGTTTATCCATCTGTGTTAAAGGAATAACCAAAGAGGGGCTGGGGAGGTGGCTCGGCAGCTAAAAGCACTCGCTGCTCCTGCAGGGGACCTGGGTTCGGTTCCCAGCACCCACATGGCAGCTTACAACCGTCTGCAACTACAGTTCTAGGGGATCTGGCGCCCTCTGCTGATCCCTCGGGGTACTGCACACACATGACTTACGTGTAGGCAAACACTCATACACACAAAGTAATAAAAACAACAACAACAACAACAAAAAGCCCCACAGCCACCACAAAACAGAAGAATCCTAACTTCATAACAGCATGTGACCCACCTGTTTGGCCTGGTCAGAGAGGCCCCCACACCAGAGTCCCTTCTTTCTTTTACCCCAGCGGCCTCCGATTCGTTCAGAGAAGTTCCATCCCTTTCCACATCACTGGGTGTTGTCCGACCTTCCGAGACCGAGTTGCCCTCAAAATCTAAAGTGATCTGATTGGGAGATGGAAACGGGGATACACCAGGCTCCCCTGCCAACACATCGTGGCTTTGCAGTTCCGGTAAGATATTCTTTGACCAGTCATCCACCACCTCCTGGATGCCGTTGACATGCTGCAAAATGTCATCCAGCTGTGGGAGGAGGCCGTCTTTCTCCAGGTCCAACAGATCCCCTGTGCTGGCATACAGATGCGAGCCGGGGACATTGTCGTAGATGCTGACTCGGCTGGCTCTGTGGCAGGATGTCATGAGCCTGGGTTCCCTCATGCCCGGGCCCTGTTGTCTGCCCAGGGAGATGCCCCCGGTCCTCCAGTTAACCCCATTGCTGTTGTCGGTGGGTGAGAGGCTTTCTATAGAAAGAGCCTTGGGGAACGTCCCTGGTTTGTGATCTTTGGGAATATGCACCACCAAGTTCTCTTGGGAATGAAACCCATGCGTGTGGCTTGGGTCCCCTGCGTCTGGTAGCGCCGTCCCTGCCAGCACATCCAGGTCCTCCAGGTACATGCCCCCACGCTTGTTGGCCTCATGGGGCCCCTTGCGCTCCTTCATACACGGGGTGCTCACTTGGCTCCTGTTCTCCACGGGGCTGCTCTCACCACCTGACTTACTGGCGCATGGATGCCCTTTCCTGCAGGCAGCTGGAGGCGAGGTCTGCACATCTCCATTGGGTATCTGGATGTACTGCATGGCCTTGAAGGACTCTGGCTCCTGCTGCAGCACAGGCCCACTGATGACCAGGCCACCTGTCCGCCCTGACCCTTTATGCCTCCCGTGGGCTCCCTTAGCTCGCAGGGTATCCATGCGTTTCAAGAACGACTTGGCCCTGGTTCTGGCGGGTTTCTCATTTTTGGGATGAAAAGGGTAGCTGAGACTGTCTCGGGGAGACTGTGGGGGGCCGCCGCTAACCGGGGTGCCCTCCGGCACCAGCGTGCTGTCGGCACAGTGATGGCCCGACTGGCTGCGGCTGTCGCTGCCTCCGCTGCTTTCGCTGTGAAGGGAGCAGACCTCTGGCTCGCTCAGATCTGTGAGCACACTCTCGCTGCTGGCCGTGTTTCTCATCCTAGGGCCTCCTGGGGACCCGTTTCTTTCTTCCCCGGGGAACAGGGTGTGCAGGTCATCCACACGGGACCACCTGCGGCTGGTTCTCTGGAAAGTCCATTTGTTGCTGATGCACAAATCTTCCTCATCTGAGTCGTCACCCTGCAAAACACAGGGAGAATGCTCATGTCCACAGACCCTGGCTCCCATCTTGCTCCCTCTGTCTTCCCATATATGTGGGTGTAGCATGAATCTTAAAGGGTCTTATTAATAAAAACAAACCTGGAGCCAGGTATTGGGGTGAATGCTGGAAGATCAGAGAAGCAGAACAAGTCACAGCTTCCTCACCTTGCCAGTTCCTCAGCTGATCCTGTTTCCTCAGACTGGAAGCTTTGAGTCCTCATTCAAATGGATCTCAGTCGAACTGCTGCTCAAAAGCCTAAAAGCTTAACAGGCTCTAGTTCCTGGTCCTCACGCCTTATAAACCTTTCTGCTCCCTGTCGTCACTTCCTGGGATTAAAGGCGTGAGTCACCATGCCTGGCTGTTTCCAGTGTGGCTTTGAACTCACAGAAATCTGGATGGATCTCTGCCTCTAGAAGGCTAGAATTAAAGGTGTGTGTGCCACCATTTTCTGGCCTCTGTGTCTGTCTAGTGGCTGTTCTGTCCTCTGACCCCAGATAAGTTTATTAGGATGCACAATATATTGGGGGACACAATATATCACCACATGTGAATTATATGTGTGAAATATATGAAACTTTATATAAAGATATATAATTTTATTTTCCAATCCTTTCTTTGTTTCTAAGGAGCTTTTCCTTGCTGGTTACTGAGTACGCAGGCGCCATTTGACTAGGCAGTGGAGCCACGCCCGGTATCCTTTCCAAAGCACGTTGGTCCCACCAACACCGGGCACTTCTTTCCTCTCCAGTGAGTTCAAGGACCACTGTTTACAGCTCTCCTCCAAACCTCAGCCTCATTACCCCTCGAAGGTGACATTCCCCACCTAAGTCTCTAAAATCCTCGGTTCTTGTCATAAGCATTCAGTGAAATCACAGGCTGAACTCTGAAAAGTAGTCAAGTTGGCACCAATCTCAAGCTCACCCTTGAAGAGAGTCCGGCTCACCTAGCCGCCCAGGCGACCAGGCTCCTCGTGTTTAATGAGCTTGAATCACAGTGCCTTAGGCCGCACACACCTTCCAGTGGCTGTGGTCGCAAAGTTTTGCGTTCTGCATGTCACACACTGACCTATCTGTTCCCTGGTGGAACTTGTAGCCTGTGACACACAGAAGTCTGCATTCCCTGAGGCTAACAGTGTCCCTGTTTGTTTTTGTGTATCCCTTGGGCCCAGAAATTCTTTACTTCCCCAAATGAAGGGAAACATTGGCTCCCACCCCCTCCTTACCATGGTCAGCACTAAGACCCAACTTGGAACTGTTTTTCAAATCAATTCCCAGGTTTGTGTCTTCGCTCTCATTTTCTTAGTCTGGGCCCTCAACATCTCTCTCTGGATGCATTACAGGAAAAAAAAAAAACTGGCTAGAATCCTGATCTCTAGAATGTTCCCCATAGTGTGATCACACCAGCTTTTCATAGTGTGATCCATTTTCTCAGCTTAGAAGCCTCCAGTCTGAGAGCCTGCTGCGCTCTCAACCGATAGGAACGGGGTCTGAGTTCATCCATTTTGCTCGGACTTAGATCCTCCCCAACATCACACCCATAAGAACTGTTTAATTCTTGTTGTTCATTGAACTTATCTTTTCTTTGGCATCTGGCTAGATGCCCTGGCTCTGAGTGACAGAGGTACCACCAGCCCCTCACCTCCTCTGCAGTAACTTTCCATTACCTACAAAGTCAGGCTAAAAATAGGCCCTGACTCACAGGTTTTCCTCCGGGGATTAAACAGGGCTGTGCAGTTAGCAGTGGAGTTTGTTCTTTTCAACGTCCGTCCCATTGTTTGTCTGTCTTTCCACTCATTTAACATCCACCTTAGCTCCCCTAACCACCCAATTTAGTGTTTTCAAGGCAGAACACCGGCTCACAGGCAATGACCCTGGCTGGACTCCTCTCACGGAAGGCTTACGCCATGCAAAGCCAGGCTCTGATTCGGACTCCATCGGGATACTCAAGCGTGGTAAGGTGGAGGAAACGACAAAGCCAAAGGCGCCTCCACGCATTGCATGGTGGCTCCACCACAGCGGGAAGCTTTAGCTTCGATTTTTTTTAAAAAATAAATTTGTATAACATCTTGGTGAAATAAATTGAAAAATTAAAACTATGCACACGAAACCAGGATAATTCAAAATAGGCCTTCCGATGCTGTCTCGTTCTTCCCATGATGGCTATCATGGAAGAAAACAAAAGAGCAGCAAGCCGACCTCAGAGCTGCTGAAGCAGAAGGCGCCATGAACTTACTGCGCTTCACAGCTTGTGAGAAGGTGAGCCACTACCTTTAAAGAAAATATAGATATTTAAAAATAGAACCATAATGTCTAATGTTGGTCCCAACCTCTCTCTCTACCCCACCACTAACACTAGAAAACCACATGCAAACTGCATAAAGTCTCCTTTATTTAGGTTAAGAAAGGATGCCAAGCCAGGCTCCGAGGACCGGAGCCAGAGAGCTGGTCCCTTCTGTGGGGCTCGAATTGCTTGCTCCCCCAGCCTTAGCCCACAGGAAAACAGTCACAGCCCAACCAAGGCATCTGACAAAGAGGAACAGGAGAGGGATATTCTGTGGTAATTAAGTTCTTTGAACCAAAACACGCAAACGGAGCCAAAGGGGGAAAAGCGAAGCCAAGCCAAATGAAAACTGCGCCCTTTACTCTTTAGCACCCAGGGCGGAAGGCAATCAGGAGCAACCCCACGGTGCATTTTTTAAACTGCTGCTGGTGACTCGGGGTGAGGGCAGAGAAGACGCAACCACACTACACCAACACACGAAACATCACACTGCACTAATACACAAAACAACGTCATGCTCTAATAACATCCTCGTCTGCTCCTGCTTGTCTAGATCGGGCATCCCTAATCCAAATAATTCAATTCTAACATGCTCCAAAATCCAAACATTTTCAAGCACCAGCAGCATGATGCTTGTGTAATGGGTTGTAGTGAAAAAAAAAAATGCAAACACACTAAAACTGTACACAATTACCTTAAGGTCATATGCAGAAGATGTTCATAAAATAACAATTAACTTCTTGCTTAGATTTTGTTTTCATCCCCGTATAATATAGATATTATATATATTATATAACATACATATATTACACACATATATAAAACATATGCATTATGCATATGCAAATATCAAGCTTCCAGAAATATCTAGATATGAATCACTGCCAGTCCAATCATTTTGGATAAAGAATATTCAATCTGTAGTCTGGTTTAGTCTGTTCATTTCTAAACAATGTTGCGCTTGAATTCACAAATTTATTTAACAGTGTGCCACATTGCCTGACCTACAATGTGTAAAACAAACAAACAAACAAACAAACAAACAAACAAACAAACAAACAAAAAACAACCCATTGTTCCAAAGTTTAAGTTTCCTTCATAAGCTTGGGATGAAATAAAGTATCAGGTACAGGGCAGACTTCGTAGTAGGACTCGTGGTATACTGATTATTTAAGAGATGATCAGATTTCATTGGTTGGCCCTTTCTTTTTGGACTAGAAACGAATAGTCTGTGTTTCTACAGAATTGTGAAATGGAGATCTAGGGAGTGAACGTGTTTATAGAGAAAAAGACACCTCGAACTGACTGTTTCTCCGGTCACAACGGCTTAGCATGCAACACAAACACTAAGGACACACGACATCAGAAGTTCGGCAAGTCTGTTAGGATGCCATTGCGAAGGCTAACTGTGCTGGATGCCGAGAGGGTTTTGTTACTAAGGAAGCAGCTGAGGAAGGGATCTCTGGAGGCAAGCCCCGAGGTCACGCCCGCTTTAAGCATAGTGTTAAAAACAGGGAGAACTCATGCTTTTAAAACACAAATATGGCATAAGGTTCTGCCCGAAGGATCTTAAGCTGGGTACCCTCTTTAGGAATAGATTTTTCTCCATCACAATATGAAAGATGACATATGTGTGTGTGTGTGTGTGTGTGTGTGTGTGTGTGTGTGTGTGTGACAGAGAGAGAGACATCAAGAAAAAGAAAATTTAAAAAATAATAAAATAAATATTTAACAAAAAGAAAACTTTGTTTTATGCACAAAATTACTGACTATACTGCATAAAATCAGTTGTAAATTCTGAATAACAGAATATGTGAAAACAAATGAATTTCACGTAAGACTTGGGCCTATCTCCAATATACCTTTTTGTATGCCTAAATATTAAAAAATCTGAAAAGAAATCAGATCTAAACAACTTTCTTCTGTTGCACTTTGGGTAAGGAGTAAGGAGCATGGGACTGGAAGGTGGTCTGCAATGAATCTGAAATTGCATGGTGTAAAATGTAGTTACTCTATCCTTTTAAAAATGATTTATTTATTTATTTATTTTTACTTTTAGTGTATGAGTGTTTTGTCTGCACATATGTATGTGCACTGCATATGTGTCTGGTGCCAGTGGAGGCCAGAAGAGGACTTCAGGTCCTGAGTGCATCTGCCATAACCTACAGAGAAAGTATCATAGGGGACCCACTGTTTCACACAGAGATGGCGTGAATCTGTAGCCTCCTAACTGTAGGATGTGGCTAATGGTGAAGGATGAACTTTGAAAATACAGAACTACTTAACTTCATTTTGAATGGTAACTATTTGAAGGGATAGCTTAAACTTTGAAAAGATGCTCAAACCTCATTCCGCTGTTCAGCATAGGACCAATTTCTTTAGGATGGCTGGTATTAGAACAACACAAGAAAGCTTTTAGATGTCTGTGTTCCTTTTGAGTACCGTGGTCAATTAGCTTAATTAGATTGTAAACGCAGAGCTTAGATATATTAAACACCTTATATATCAGTTTTGTTCACAGTGTACACACGTCATTTAACATGGGGAGCTAGATTCCTGCTATTAATATAGAAGAAGAACAAGAAGTTACCAGTATAATAATACATATTTGTCAGGCACACTTTCAGTAAAATATGTACAGTTTTCTTGCTTTCTCCTATTTTCCAGTCTATATTTTCTAATACCCATTCTACTTTTTTTTTTTTTTTTAAATTAAAAGGCAATTTTGTGCTGGTCCTAATTAATATTAAAAACATTTATTCTCATACTTTCTATTTATTTCTTTCTATTTCTATTCATATGTCTGACAATTCATTTGTATTAAAATGTACCAAAGCATCAGTGATGACTGGCAGAGAAAATAAAACACACAGGTGATTCACCACAGGCACGTGAGGAAATTTTTGTTCTGGATCCAGTGTCTGTGAAAGGTCAGCTGTAAGTGGGTTAGGCTCACAGGCCATATTGTCTCTGTTGGAGAATCTGTTCCACTTTGCTGGGTCTGACTGTGTTTTAATAAAACTTTATAAAAACAGGAGCAGTAGCTTGCCAGGAGGTAGAAAGAAAAAGCCTTTTTCTGTGCCTCTCCAGAGACAGGCAGTACCTTTAGGTTTCCCAGCCATGTTTTTACAAGAAGACTTTTTGATTTAAAGAGTTCACTCTGCCGAGGGCATTGTGGGGGATGCTCTCAGAGGGAGAGCCTGTGGTGACTGGGTGGGAAACATGACAGAAGACCCCTCCCAACTCAGACGTTTCTAAGACATCCATATGTTATCTGCAAGTCACGTCTATGAATATTCCCCAGCCACTCGGATGGTGGCTACTGTGGTCACGTCCTCCTCCTTGCTTCTGCTGCTTCAGGCTGCCAGGAAGGGCTGTTTGGTCGGAGATGAGGGCCGTGGAAGTCAGTGTCCCAGGGGTGAGGGTGGAAACTGGGTCCCTTGTCGCAGTGGCAGGAACTTAGTCAAGCCCTTGGCGTCCAGGTGGGGAGGTTCTGGCCCAAGGTTTTACTCATGGTTTCGGTGTGGCATTCCACCTTTGGCCATGGCTCGGAGTCTTATTAAAATGCTAACTTTAATGGGAGCCTTCTTCTCGAGAGCTCTTTCCTCTCTTGGGAAGTCTTTCTAAACGCCAGCCACTCAGGGTCACTCGCTATCATTCTGACGCTAGTGTGGATCAGTCGGTAGTAACACTTGTCCAGGGCGGGGAGCTTGGCTTTGCCTTGGTTTTAGTTTGCATGAGCCTCCTGTGTTCGGCTTTTTTTTCTAAATGAGAACACGCTTTACTAAAATTACATTTTCCTTAGAGATGGGTGCCACTGGAAACCGAGAAATGGGTTTTTTAGAAAAACAAAACAGAACAGGTCAGGGGAGCCACACAAATCTGCAGCTGGAACGGAGGCCAGTCCACAGTTACACGGACACTGAGACGCTGAAGGTGCCGCTTCCATTAACTTGGTGATGTGGGCAGCCGAGGAGCCGGTCCAGCTGCCGGCGAGTCCCCACTTTAGAATGCCTCTCTTTGGGGCTTCGGTGAGTCTGCAGCTAAGGTACTTAGTGAGGACCAAGAGCCATCCACCTGAGGGCAGGTACCATGTGACATGTATGTAAAGCAGAACAGACACCAAGTCAAATAGGAACCCGTCCTCAGTACTTTCATTTGTTTGTAGGCCTCCATTTTTGTCCCTTGGCTCAGCTCAGCTCATCTTCAAAGTTAATTTCCCCAGACAGGTAAAATAAACTGTGGACCTTAGTATTGATGGCAAGGCACACCTCTGTGGTAAAAATAGTGCACTGTCTGTATGGCTTAGGCCCGGGAACTGACATGCATTTAGGATCCAGAATAATTCCAACAATTTTCAAAAGGTGAGGAGGTGGTTGGGTTCAAATCTCCTCCCTGTTTTTTGTGTGTGTGGTTTTGGGGCCACTGATTGAACTGTTGAGTTTCTTCATCTTTAACATGGAGCACAGGGCCTCCCAGAGAGGTCTCATGTCAGCATCTGCTGGCCACCCTGGCTGCCGAGCAAGCCCAAGGAGCCTTTTCACGGGTCTAACTGCCTCTAAGGGAGTTCTGTGGCCTTGGATGGTTGAGGCATGTAAGGATCATACAACTCATGTCTATGATTCTTAGTGACTGAAGGTCCAGATTCTGTTTCATAGATTGCTTAAAAAGAGGACAGCCACAGGACACTACTGTCTCAATCCCCTTAATTCTCGTTGTCACTCTCTTTCTATTAATGTCCCCAACTGACTGTAGCTTCACGGAGCACTTCATGGAGCCAGTCTGTCTGTCTGTCTGTGTCTCTCTCTCTTATATAATTTGGCCTAGTCCTGGTCCCTAGTCAAAGAAGTGTTTTTGTTTGGTAATAGAAAGAAGGACCAGGCTACAGTTTCTGTCAGGGCTGGATCTCAGAACTGAGCGCTGCCACACGGCACACTCCTGTGTGGTTGCTTGAAGCCGGCCACAGATCACAGACGCTGGCCTGGACTGAGACTGACATGTGAGGGGAGACCTCATGCTGGAATGCTTTTATTTGAAAACCCAGTCTATGAGCCTCCAATTTCCAACATAAAAAGCGGTATTTTACTCACATGTACATATGTGTGAGGCCTCCGTAACTAAGCGGGGGGCCAAAGTGTGTGCATAACTGTCACTAACACAAGAAATATCCCGATCGTGTCAGAATCCCGAGGTGACGAGTTCACAGAGCGGCTTCTGTGCAGGCTGCACAGAGAGCCTTGTTCACGGATATCTCGCCTGAGAGTTTTGAAAGCAGGTGACAGCAAAAAATCCCACCAGTTCTCCTTGCCGTAAACAACGCGTCCCAATAGTTCCTGACGTTCTCTTTTGTGAGGGACCCACGCAGACCAGTCACCTAAGGACCCTCATTTTACACTCACAAGAGTGATTGTATTTGGTTTAATAAGAACCATGTGTTATAATCAAAACAACATCTGACCCGCATGCTTCAAATAGTAAGTGTATACTTCTCAAGGGGTCCACTTACACAGACAGCTGTTGGGAGGTCTGTTCCCACATTTTAAACTTGTCTGGGCCCTGGATAACTCACTCATGTTTGAAAATTTCTCTGGATATGGTTTCTTGCTCTTCTACCTCCTTAGCAGAAATTCTTGGTTCCCAGCTCCAAACCCAGACTGCTTTTAAGGTGAAGCCAAGCCAAACTGATTGAGAGTCTTTGAGGGGCGTTGCTTTGGAGTGGAAACCTGGGGGGTTAGTTTTGAAGGGCTAGGGTACTCCAGGGTGAGTTAAAAATGTGTTAGGTGTAATTATTGCTCTGTGCCAACCAGAATAAAAGTGTATTACTCTTTTTGCTTCAAAATGAGCCCAGATTTGACTGACTACACATGGAGATGCTGCATGAAAAAAGTCCTCAGTGATTTAATCCTGAATTTCCGGGGAAGAAGAGCAGATTCATTGAGATGATGAGCCCAGAGCAGCACAGGGGGGTGGAGGCCTGGCTTTGGAGTCACCTGCTCCTAAGGACACTCCTGTGGTCAAAAGCCATCTGTGAGACTCACCCCGGCGCTATGAGCACATGGCAGGCTTCACTTCCTTCCGTAGGACCCAGACAAGCTCTACATGAATGAGATAATGCAGTGTGCAGAGTTCCTATCTGATAGTCATCAATGGAGAGCAAATTGGGTCTTCCTTACCCACAATGCTCAGGACCAGGAGTGTTTGGGCTGTGTTTGATTTTGGAATGTCCTCATAGGCTTTATTGCTTAATCAGAAACTATGAAATGCATACTTATCTGAAATCCAAAACTTCTGACCATCATAAACCCACTCAAGCAATTTAGATTGTGTAAGCATTGGTTCACACCTGTCATCTCAGCCCTCGGGAAAGAGAGGCAGGAGGATCAGGAGTTCGAGGCCAGCTTTGACTACACAGCAAGTTCAAGGCCAGATGCATGAGCCTCTGTCTCTAAAATCTTAAAACAAACAAACAAACAAACAAACAAACCCAAAAAACAAACAAATGAACAAGGACTTTGGACTATCATTGATTTCAGATACACTATGGATGCTAACTCTTTCGTTCCTGCCTCCATCTTCCTCTCTTCCCTTCCTCTCCTCTGTCTTTTCCTTCTGTCCTCTCTGTACCGCGTCCAGCTGAATCCTGGGCCCAGAACACTAAGTGCTCACCCCCGAGGTCCACCCCAGCTTCACCACTTCATTTCAAACTGCAATCTCCACTCTTGGAGAACAGTTTGCAGGATGTCCGGTGAGAGGAAGGGACCGTCGGGGATCATAGCAACGGTTAAAGTGGAAACACATTCTTGTGACTGGGGCATGCCTGGGGGAGAGCGGTGAAGGACGAGCCAGGTGCTTGGAGTTGCACTGTCCCCCAACTCCTGTACTCCTGCCACCAAACGAACCTGCCGTGAAACGGAGGCATCTCTGACATGTACTTGAAAGAAAATGTGACTGGCGCCAACCGGAAGCTGCTTGGCGTGGGTCCATCAGCCCTGCCCTGAATCTCTTAGTCCACTCGTCGCTGTGGACTACCTGGGATCACACGTGGGTTGACAGTTACAGCCGGCAGCCTTCTGAAAGGGGATGCCAAAGAACTGACATACTTGGTTCTTTACCCCCACCTTTTGATTAAAAACAAAACAAAAACCCACTAAAACAAGCCAAAACAATGAAATCGCCAAATCCATCTTTCAGCATGGTCTTAGATAAGTAGTGGGAATAAGATGTGTTATTTGGAAACAAAACAGACAGTAAGGTGGGCACATGAGAATTTTGCCTTGGTTCGATATTTTTTTTTTTACAGGTGTGTGTGTGTGTGTGTGTGTGTGTGTGTGTGTGTGTGTCCATGGAGGCCAGAAGAGAGCATGAGATCCCATGGACCTGGTGTTGTTGACAGTCACGGGAATGCTGGGAACCAAACTCCCATAATCTGGAAGAGCAGCAAGTGCCCTTAACCACTGAACCAGCTCTCCAGCCCCATGTCCCCCAGCCTGTGAGTGCAGACTGCTCTGCTGGTGCCGTCACGGTCTCCGGGAGGGGCACCCACCTTCTTCCTTTGGAGGTTCACATCAAGTCTCATCGAGGCGCACTTGTTCAACGCATTAAGTCGTCTGAAAAGAAGGAGAATTGGATGATTTACTAATGGGCGCACACTTCCTCCCGGTCTGCTACCTTTCTCTGCTTTTGGTCAACCTGAAAGTGTAGATTCAACCAGGTACGTGGCGAGGCATGGCAGCATCTCCAGAAAGTGAGCTACAAAATGGTTCTGTTCTCTAGCTTCCTGACCCTTTCCTGGTCTAAACCCAGGCCCTTCTGGCTCCTCCTCCCTTTCTTAGAAACCACAGACAGCATTAACTAGACTTTCACCAGCCCCGCCCACACGGGCCACTGTCCACTTCGGTCAAGCCCGTCCTGGTATAGACCCCCTCGGGAAAACACCTCACACCACAGCGATGAGTTATTCCCGCCGTGTCTTCCCACAAACTTGTTTGTTGAAGGCATAGCCCTGGTAGAACTGAATGTGGAGTCAAGATGTCACTAAGGCCAGCTGAGGCCATGAGGGGGAAACCCCGCTCCCCTGGGATTAGCGTCCATGTAAGAAACAACACCAGGGTATGTGTGCACGCTTGTTCTCTACTACTTCAGCACATGGAGAGACAGAGACGGAGGCTTTCTCCAGGGGGGAGGTCACCAACAACCAAATTCTTGACCTTGAAGTTTCCAGCCTCTTGAATTGTGAAAAGTAAGAACCCACTGTTAAGCTGCCCGGTCGCTGGCATTCTGCAGTGGCAGCGCATGCCAACTAATAAATACATTTGGTTTTCACCCTCAGCTGGACTCTCAAAATTGCTGCTACCCAGCAGAATTCCTTCTAGTCCCCGCCCCCCCCCCCCCCCCCCCCCCCCCCCCCCCCCCCCCCCCCCCCCCCCCCCCCCCCAATGTGGCTCTCCCACCCAGACCACCAAAGATTCAGTTCTCCCTCTGAGGATGATTTCCGCCACTGCTGCCCACTGAGAGGGAGAAACCAAACGCTAGCAGCCATGCCTTCTTGTAACATTCCTTTCCTTTGTGGTAAACAGCATCTCCTCCGTGTTTGTTTACCTTGCTGCCTGGCTGCTTCCAGGGGAAAGATGGTCCTTTTGTTTTTCAAAGCTAACTCTTCAGTTTCTCAACTGCTTTTCCTCTACAGCCCGTTGTAATTCTAATTAACCAAGGAAGCTACCATCACCCTCCAATCCTGCTTCTCACCATTGCATCTCCTTCCTAACTGCTGAGAACAGTTTCATTCATTCATTCTTTTTTTGTTTGTTTGTTTTTCAAGACAGGATTTCCCTGGGTAGTTTTGGAGCCTTTCCTGGATCTCTCTCTGTAGATCAGGCTGGGCTCGAACTCACAAAGATCCTCCTTCCTCTGCCTCCCTAGTGCTGGGATTAAAGGCGTGCACCACCACTGCCTGGCTTCATTCACTCTTAAGTCTTACTTTGGTGAAGTCTCCTGGCCAACACCTTCATTATTTTGTGTTGATTTTTTTTTTTTTTAAACATTCGCATGTGGCTCAGGAGTCACTGGTCGCCCCTTGTCCGTGTGCCGCTCTTTGGGCAGTTCTTGCAACGCTTTCATTTATGTCTAAAACCATTTTTACACCATTACTTCACGACCTTCCAGTCTGGTTAGTTCTCTATTGAATTTGTTCTTTAGAAGCAGAGGATTCATTTTTTTTCTGTCTCTATCCCCATCCCCCATCCATTGCCCGATCTGCATAGAGCTGTGTTACGGTATCACACATTTTGGATAAATCCATACTTGATATTTATTACAGCCATAAAGTTCTATTCCCACATGTATCATACTTGAATAATTTTCCTTTCACTTTCAACTTTTCACTGTCCCTAGAGTTAATGTGCATAGAGTTTGTTTACTTAATATTCTCGTGTTTATTCGAAATATCTCCAATTATCTAAAGCCTGTCAGATGGTCTTTGAACTTAATTCCCTTGGAGAGATGTCTCTCAGTTCCAGTTATTTCTTACGGTTGAGACCCCTCTGAAGTGCGTTGTCTTCTGTTCTCGAGTCCAGCAGTACAAAAGGCCTGGGGACACTGATGTTCAGCATGTGGGCAGACTGTCATGTGAGCCCTGTTTCCAACAGAGAACCCACTTTAGCTGTGCCTCGTACCTTGGCTTCTCGGGGATCAACTTGTATTTTGCTGATGCAAGGGAGATAAATTACCCAGGAACAGACCCAGGGGTACAGGTCAAACTTTCCCTACTTTTCCATCTAATTTCAAGTAACTTGCCTCCTTTTAAGCCTCCCACACCCTTGTTGCTAATTCTTGAATATTACAGAGTCCGTAGCGAAGATGGAGTTCCATTAGGAATTTCTCCACAGATCAGTTAGACTTCGTTTCCTGAGCACACTGAATCTTCTATGTAGATTTAGTCTCCTGCTTTGGAAATAAATGTTCTAGGTCTCTGGGTGGACATTTGATGTTGTGAAGGAAGAGATGACTCTGAAAGTTGGTGGGGTGTTTTCGAAGCAAGTAAATTCAGTGATTAGCTCTTCTGTTGCTGTTGTTTTTGTTTTTTTTCCGAAAGACAGGGTTTCTCTGTGTTGCCCTGGCTGTCCTAGAACCCACTCTGTAGACCAGGCTGGCCTCAGACTCAGAGATCCTCCTGCCTCTGCCTCCCGAGTGCTGGGATTAAAGGCGTGTACCACCATTGGCTGACAGTAATCTCATTTTTGATCAATAACATTTCCTCTGGCTGCTATAAGCAGCCAAGAGAGGTAAAGAATATTTCTTCACACTGGAAGTGTCTCCTTTGCTCCTTATTGCTGAACCTACCAATCACAGTGTCAACTCCCAGAGGCATTTGCCTTGACTTTCATCATCCAGACGTTAGTTTTGCTTATCCTTCGCCATCATAGTAATGGAATTATATAGCATGCATTTAAAAATATTTTATATATATGAGTGTCTACATGTGTGTATGTGCACCACATTCATGCAGTACCTACAGAGGCCTGAAGAGGGCATTGTATTCCCTACAACTGGAGTCACTACATTTTTGAACAACCACACGGGTGCTAGAAACCAAACATGGGTCCTCTGAAGAGCAACAGGTAAGCTTAACTTCTGAGCCATCTCTCCTGCCCCTAGGCATGCATTTTTCAGTGCATGGCTTCTTGTTGTTGCTGTTCAGCCTGATGTTTTTAGGACTGATATGTTGGTAAGTACAGCACTAATAATCATACTTACTTGCTGAATAGTTTTTCATATCATGATATATAACTGGTTTATCTATTCTCTTGCTGGTGGACATTCAGGTTGTGTTTTAGTTAGGGTTTCTATTGCTGTAAAGAGACACCATGACCACAGCAACTCTTATAAAGGAAAACATTTCATTGGGTGGCTTATGGGTTTAGTCCATTATCATCACAGTGGGACAAGGGGACATGAAGGCAGACATGATGCTGGAAAAAGAGGCACATCTTGATCGCACAGGCAACAGGAAGTGGTCTGAGCGTCACACCGAGTGAAGCTTGAGCATATGAGACATCAAAACCCACCCCACAGGGACACATTTTCTCTAACAAGGCCACACCTACTTCAACAGAGCCACACATCCTAATAATGCCACTCCCTATGAGCTTATTGGGGCCAGTTACTTTCAAACTACCACAGGTTGTTTCTAGTTATTTTTTTTTTTTTTTTTTTTTGGTTTTTCGAGACAGGGTTTCTCTGTGTAGATTTGCGCCTTTCCTGGAACTCACTTGGTAGCCCAGGCTGGCCTCGAACTCACAAAGATCCGCCTGCCTCTGCCTCCCGAGTGCTGGGATTAAAGGCGTGCGCCACCACCGCCCGGCTTGTTTCTAGTTATTTTATTTTTTGATTTTTACTAATGCCTTCCTAATTACCAAATTATATAGTTTCTTTTAAGTGAAGCCCTGTTTCTAGCAATGCACAACAATGTACAGCTCAACACTATCTTCGGCATTTAAGACTATGAATCCTCTTATCACTTCCCACCACACACAGCACAGACCCCTTGCGTATTAACGCATGTAGATACAGTCTCTACAGAGCATATATCACAATGCGTCTTCAGGATTCAAACCAAAGGAATCTTGTTTTACTGTGCATGAGCATACGGAAGTACCTCACATCATCTCAGAGTATACCAGACTTTGACGACATGCGATCTCCTTTCCATCCCCTCTCCCCCAAGCCCCAGAGCTACATTTCAAACCACCCACCGCTCTTGCCCGTTTGTGGGGTCCTTCAGGCTTTTCAGGCTCAAAGGCTAAAACTGAACTCCCTGCGCTGTTTCCAAAACCCATCTCTCCCATTTACTGTCTTGTCTTGACTGAGCACCAACAGGCATCCACACCAGAGAAGAGTCAGCCTGAGACTAACCCTCAGGCTCAGTAGGCGTTGCACACCGAATCTGGTCAAGTAAGTGCTACAGCGATATCCTTCAAGTCTTGCCTCTCCTTTGGTCCTAATTCGATCTCTTCTTGTCCCACATTGAGTCAGGCAACACCGGCCTTTCCTCCAATGCTGTGCACTGGAACTTCTTCTGCTCTCAGTGTATCCCAGCACGTGTTCAGTTATTCACGGAAGACGATTCTCTTCATTTCAGTCACTGACAGTTTACCCACTGATTGCGCGTTCACGATGGTGTCAAACCAAACACGCATTGGTTCCGGATCAGGATGTCCACAGCCAAAACGCTGCCTTCTTGGATTTGTGACTACAACTGGCAGATGGTCTTCCTGGCCAGTTCCACCTCAGAGTGGTGTGTTAATTAAAAGGCATTCCTGTTGTCCTTTGGCAATTCTTCCATGGGTTTGTTTAGGGAAGGACTGCATGCTGTTTATACAATATACTTATCTAGTATACTTGTTCCTCCCTTGTGGCTGGAGGCACAAACAAATCAGTGGACTTTGTGAAAAAGATTTTGGTTTACTACAGGCCCAAAAACATCAAAGGTCTGATCCTTCTTATACTACACATTTAAATATACTTTATATTCATGATATATGGAGACATTTTATTATTTGTGAAAGCTGGAACTAGATTTGTCTCCACAGACTTGGTCTTTCAGACACAT